GAGTGGAAAGCAGTTATCTATGATTTTAATAATAAGATTAATTAAGATTCTCCTGCTCCTTTTACTTTCTGCCTTGAAAAATTGGTGGATGTGCTTTGGTAGTCTGCCTTGCTTAATGCCTCTCAGAAATATATGACATACTGCTTTCATGGAAGCAGGGTGAGGAAACTGACCTCAATCCGAGATAGACTCAGTTCTCTCCTCCTTTATCTTACTTGATGCTTCATGGTTTGATAGTGGTAGGAGTTGATATTGGTGGCAGTGACAGGAATGACAGCACTTTTTACCACTTGCTGGTGGAAGTACAAAGCTGTCATGCTTGAAAGCCATGGATACAGCTTATAGAGGTCTGTTAAAAAAATGTGTGAATAGAAGGGTAGAGATACTTAGGATTATTTTCACACATTATTTTATCATGAGCAAGGGGAGAAATATTGTTTAAGTTTGCTCAGCTCTTTCTCTCCTGCAAAAATTGAATATTCTTTAAAAGGTGAAAGTTTTCATATTAAGATGAGCCCAGTTTTCCATTTACTTCTCCATCTCAGTACCCCTCTGTTCCAAACGTTTGTGAGTTGTTGTAACATCCTAATTTGTATTCTACTTTGTATCGTGAAAAATGTTATTATATTACTAATCTGCCCAGTTTATTAACTGGGGTTTCTTTAAAAAAAATTGCTTTTTCATCTTTTTGAATGCTTTTTAGAAAAAATCTTCAAGGTAGTTTTCTTCTGTAAACTCTAACCCACAATTCTATATTCACATTTTACTTCTCTAAGAGCTGAGCATCTCTGAGTATTTTAGATCTTTTTCCTACCTTGTCTAGGTTTAATTATCTCCTTTTTTCCCTCTTTTATAATATGGCCCGAGCTCCCTTTTCCCCTAACATTTATTATTAGTCATCTCATGTTTAGCTTTCTTGAGTTCACTGCTGTCCCATAGGGAGATTGCTTACATTCACAAGGAGTACATACAAGTGTCCTTTTCTGAGATGTAAAGAAAATAAGCTCCAAAAGTTTTCTTTAGTTTTTTTTCTTTCTCATCTTATTTAGTGAAAAGGAAGAAAAAAAATACATTATGTCTTTTTCCTTGCTTCTTCTCCCCGTTTAGAAAAATAACCTGTCTTACAATTTGACAAGTTACCTTTCTTACCTTTTTCAAGATGGTCTTGAAATGTAGCTTCAAATTATTTGATTATAATAGAAAACAGTTTAAGTATTTGATATTTTATCATTGTCATTTTTTAGAAATATTGCTACATGTTTTTTAATTTTTAAAAATTATTTTTATGCAGCCATTAATAAAGAATGAAGGAGACATGTATATGATGAGTTGGATAGATATTCATAATTATTAGGAGCAAAGGATGATATTTATATTTTTTACTTTATATACCTTGGCATTTTTCCATTGTGTATAACTTTCTGTAATTAAAAAATTACTGAAGAAGAAAATATGTGTTTAGTGGAAAAACTGAATAAACCAATATGCAAAATACAGATATTTTAAAACATCAGTTTGAATTTTTCATTTTGAATAGTTTGTAATAACTAGAACATTCTTGAATAAGGTCATTTATTTCACTTAATTGAATTTTTTGCTTTGCCAGAAATTCTTTCTGGTTATGTCCTTGTTATCCATGTACTTTATGCAAAACAATTTAAAAGTTCTTAGGTCATTGAGGATAATCTAGTTTTTTATGGGTTTTTTTTTTTTTTTTTTGGCCATCATTTTTAATTCTTCAGTTTCCTATACGAGTTGTCTTTTTAGTCAGTTGACATACCCTATTGATTCTGCCTTCATGTTGCCTGTCACACGTGTACGCTCCTCTGCACAGCTACGGCCAGCACTGTTTGCCGGGCCTTTCATTACCTGTCAGGGTGATCACCGTGGCTTCCCGTCTTCTGTGTCTTACCCAGCCAACAATTTGGTTTCTCAGTTTCCTGAGATTGATTGATTGATTTGTAACTCATTTACCATTGTCTTATTCCCCTGCTCAAATATCTCTGCTGGTATTTAAAGCCTTCTTTCTGTTTTTGGCCCCACTTTAACTTAGCAGATCAACTTCTCACTATTGTATTACTTTTCTTCTAAAGAGAACAATTCACCATTTCCAGATCTGCTTCAGTAGCTTTCCTCAACAGTGCTTTTATTTATATTGTTCTTAAATCCAACATAATTCCTTTCTTCTTAAGTTTATTAAGAAGGTTGCTTTTTTTTTTTTTTTTAATAGTATTTACTGCATTCTGCCTTTTTGTAGGTATTGCCAGACTTTTAACTACCTTGATTCTAGGTTAAGTTTCCAGGGTAATGACTTTATTCCATATGAATATGCGTATCTGCCATAATGCCTTCTACATTGTAAGGATTCAAATATTAACTGAATTACAAAGCTTACTTAAATGTACAATCAAGATGTAATAAAACTAAATGTTTTATTGACTTTGGAAAGTAGTCTTCAAATTACTGTGTTGACTAAAGCCTGACTAAGCACCTGTTTTCTTATCTTCTGGTTTTCACGTTTCAATCTAATCTCAGTAAATGAGGAGTTTGATTTTTAATGCCCAGAGAACTTAGATTTTGCTATCATTTTATTTGGGGGATTAAAAAATAGACAAATAGGCCACGTACCTAAAAATTGACTTACCATGGTGAGAAGTACAGAGATATTACGGATGGCATTTTTTAAAAGCATAATTGTAAATTCTTAAATTTTCATAATAGCTTTGAACATCTGTTGGGACTAATTGGCAGACTAATGACCTCTTGGAATTAGCAAGCAATGAGCGTTCCATATCTTACTGAGCTCATATTTGGTTAGTTTTTAAAATAATAGTTCTTCTGTGGTTTTGAAGAACTAACCCCGTTAACTGTATATAAATTGATGCCTGTGTCTGTGATTTGTAGCATATGGGTGGGAAAAAATATCATTTTAAGAAGGATCCCATATTGAGTTTACTGTTACCTCTATTGCTTTTGCATTTACAATTTTCATTCTAACATGAAAAATTAACATTAATATCTTTCCCATGAAATTATTAGAAATACAGTGAAAGACATACACATTTTGGTGAAGCCCATCATGAGGAAAATAAAAATACTTCACCTTTTCATAGAACAAACACTTAAAAAAAAGTTGTCTAAGCTTCTCATTCTCTCATTCTCTCATTTAAGCTGAGGTCAGTAATTGTAAGCATATTTGTGACTTGTTTTCAAAAGCTGAATCTTTAATATAAGTATTATTTTGGTTTACATATTACATACTTTTTAACATTAAAAAGCTGTTAGAAGTTGTTCGGTAGGTATGAATTTTCTTTGTTGTAAATCAGTGGGTGTAATTTTGAGTACCTGAAAGTTCATTACCGGAGGGCAAAAATGCTTGTTAATTGTCTGTTCCAGAGTCAAGTGTAGAAATAATAACAGTTTAGAAGGCAACATTATAATATTTGCCATTTATTATTTTGTTAGATTTCTTATTACAGAGAACAAGAGGGCATGAAAGCAGTTTAGGCAAATATATTTAAAAATGTTTTTTAACCGAGTTCTTTGGCATCCTTATAGATTTGAAGATTGAAAATATTTAAGACACAGAGGGCTTCTCTTAATATGAAAATTCTAAAAATAGTCTAATTTTTATGAAGATTATAAAACTAAATACAGTTATAATTTATGCTTGGAAGTTTAAGTATAAAATTAGTTTAAAAATTTTTTAATGGATATATTAGATATTCCGTGCCAAATATGTTTATTGAATGAAAAAATGTTTAATACCCTTACCTACGAAGTCTTAATTTCTCTACAGGGTTCTGAAAAATGTCTTACTTTCTTATGCTACATTTTGTCAAATTGAAGCATTTCTTTAATTCCATAAAAGTAGAAAACAAGACAGAAGGATACTGTTCCTTTGCCAAGATTTGACATGTTAACATTATCAGAAATAAATCACTGTTAAATATCCCAGGAACCTCAGTGAATTCAAGCTATTGCATGGTGCTCATTTCCCTCAAGGATTAATGTATTCAGTAAACTAGACTGGGTCAATCTCAACCTCACTTATTTACACAAAAGTGATATATTATTGAATTTCTTGACATAAAGTTTTATTTAAAGATGAGTTGCTACTTGATTTAATGGATACAGTATTAAAAAAATAGAATAAAAAGTTGTACCATCAATTATAAGGTAGCAAGAACTGTATTTGCTTATTTAAGTAACTTATTGCTCTTTTTCTGATACAGTGATAATTAGCACTCATTGATAGATTATTGGATTATAACAGTTGGAAAACATTTGTTTGATATGAGATTCCCAAACCTGTTATCTATAGTTAGGATTAGTAATTTTCTAGTTTTCCAACATGAATTGAAGATGGGAGACACAAAGATTAAAGTTAGATTAAGTGGTGTAGAGTAAAAAAATTGACAAGATTTATTGCCACTTAAATGATTTTAAGAGTGGAAATAGAACTATTCTATTTTGAAACATTTGGAAGTTATGATAGTATAGGAACCTTGTGTAAATTTTATTACTCTTAAGTTGCTATGTATCTAAAATTAGAAATCATTGGCTTTGTGAAGCTTCTACAGTGATAGAAAGTCTTTTTTTCTTTTATTCAGATTTTAATAGTTGACTTCTGTTATACAAAAAGGCTGACTTGAATAAAGTTAGGAAGTTAGTTTATTTTAATGTACTGGTTTTTACCAGTATATTAATCCAGAGCATTTGGCTTAGACTCACGCAAAGTGAGGAAGGAAGAAAGAGGCTGGTGCTTTAGTTTTCTTCCTTCCTTTTATTGTCAGTGTATTTTGTATATTTATAGGCATAGTGCCCTTGATCTTAGAAAAATCAATCTCTTTTTCATAATAAACTTGAATTTCAAAATTTCCCTATCTTAGAGTGTATATATACTGGGTTGTTTCTTGGTTCTTAAATTTTAAAATCCTGATAAATCCTACAATTTTCTGTACTCAAAAAAAAAAGGATAAAGTTTCACACATAGTTCATTATTTTTGATGCATCAAATATTATAGCAGGTAGACTATACCAGAAAACATAAGGTAGTGACATAGAAAATCCTGAATTATTTTGTTTGGAGACCATAATTTTTGCTCTTATATTAAAGTGCTATTCCACTTGTCATTTATACAAATATATCTATAGTTTGTGGCTTAGAAACAAATACACTTCATAAAAAAAAGAAAAGGATACCTGTGTCAGTTACATTTTGAAGTTATACACTGTTTTAAGGCTATGTATTTATTATTTAGAAAATATGACTTACATGAATATCTTCTGATGGACATAATATTGACAAAAATACACAATATTACTTTAACAAACTGCCATGCAACAAATACACTGTAATGAAGAAATTGAATATATATGACCTAATCTAATCTTGACATTTACATTGAAAATTTACAACATAACCAATACTTAAAATGTTTTTTCTTATATTTGGCAGTAATTTCATTTTTTTACAATTTAAATGTGGGCTTAATGAAACTTAGATGTTTCCCTAGTCTGTGACAACCTGAGGTACTAAACATTTTTCTCTTATTTCACTATCTTCAAAGGTAATTTTTTTGTTTCTTTTAGGATCAATCCAAGAATTGTGTATTACAGCATTATTAGGCAGAGGATCAGCTTCCACTATAGAAACAACTCGCTTTTTCATTTTACTTTTCAAGACCTTTTGGAATTTTTGTCTAGTAAATGCATATAATAAAGGGTGAAATATAGTTGTTCCATAAGCCATGACTAGAAAACACAACCTTAATTTTACTAAAAGGTCACTTGGGCCTAAACATAAAATGGTGGTATTTAAAACAGAAATTGGTGTCCAGCAGAGAAGAAATGTAGAAATAATCAATAAAGACATCCTGAAGACTCTTTTTTGCCTTTCTCGTCGTTCACGGTGTCGTTTCACAGCTCGCCGGAGGGCAATTATTACTGAGACTGAAGTTCTTACGCCAAAGACCACATTTCTCCCACCACTGCTTTGTGACAGGTCTGTAGTCTCATGCTGCGTGGTTAGAGAAAGTGTCTTTTTCTTTCTTGCTTTCTTCTTCTGCCCTGTGGAAAATCTTGTGCCGATTCGAATATTAAGAGCCTGAAGGATTTTGGTGTATGTGATTAACATTACTATGACAGTGAAAAAGAATATTGGGATCTGTACTAGCAGGTGATAATACATTCCCAGTTCAGTGTAGTATTCATTTGTACTGACACACAAAAGTGTCTTGTTTTCCCATGTATTTCCACTTTGAAGACTGAAAAAATTTACCTCAATAAAGGGAATCAGGAAAGAGAAAAATGAAAAAATCCAAATGGATATCATTAGCATTACAGCTCTGCCCATTGTCAGAATTCGGTTTGCAGGTTTTACAGAGATGTCATATCTGTCCAGAGTGATAGCAAAAACGTTGATTGCTGTTGAGACACTTGCAAAAGATACACAGGCCTCATGGAAACAGCAAATGAGAGCAGTGTTACTCTCCAGTGAAAGCAGAAGGATAACTATTGTTAGAGGAATACATCCCACACAAATTATTACATCAAGTACATGAAGATTCATGGTAATAATGTTACTGACAGAGTTGATTAAGTTGGATTTCATGCAGTAAAGTACCAATACGGTGAGGTTGCTGCCAAGTCCCAACACGATTTCTAACATAAGAAATCCGGTGAGAGACACTTGAAAGCTTAATGGGTATGATAGTGGTTGGTACATATTGGTGTTGATGTCATCGATGTCATCTCGCACTGTAATGTTAGATTCAGACTGCATGTTGATTTCCAGAACGGGAGAAAAACACATTCTTTTGGAGCAGTTCGTGTTTTCCCTAGAAAGTGAAATAGAATAAACTCTTTTGATATTTGGCAATTTAAAGGACGTGTAAAACATGTGTTTCTTGTAAAAAAAATATTTTTATTGTGTACTTGGCTTAATTTTTAAGTTTCTAAACTATAATGGCAGAGGTAGAATTAGGAGAATCAAGGTTGCATTGTTTTGATATAACAGGAAATTGGATTCTCCCTTTGAAGGTGACTGTATGGGGAATACTCCTGTATAGTCCAAAATTACTTAATATCTCAAAAAGATTTTCCTCATTTGGGTTTTTCAAACTTGCTGAGATACAGTATATTTCTGTACAATAAAACTACCCAGTATGCAAAACTAATTTTAGCCTGGTGTTTTAAGATTTCATTTTAAACTGTTGTGTGTAGGTGGGTAATAAATGCTATCTTAATATGTTCTAGCATAATTAGTGTTGGTGTAATTATTCTCCTGAGATTTCAAATGAACAGGACAAGTGTTCATTTAAAATGATAAATGGCACAGAGCACTAGTTCTTTAAAACCATTTTGTCCATGTTCTTGGTTGAAATTCTTACTTAAGAGTCTACAGTGTGCTTGGGGATATTTGGAGCTATTTCCCATAGAAAGTAGGGAAATGATAAATATTACATATTTTGTAGTGAAAATGCTCACCGAATTTTATAATGGACAAACTTATGTTATAAAAATTGGATGAAAAGGATATTAAAGTATAACACCACAAAACTTGGTAAAAGAGTACTAATCACTCCAATGAATGATTTATTTTGTGACCACACCCTCTCATTTATTGTGGAAGAAGGAAATTGAAATTTAATATCATGTTAAGAAATAACCATTTTTGGAGTGGTTTAAAAGACTATATCAGTTGATTTTGTTTGTTTAAACAGGATTTTTAAAGTAAAATATGAAATTTTGGAAAAGGAGTATCTGAAATCCATTTTCTGAGGAATCTTTTAAAGTTTACACATTCCATGTGAAACCTTTTGTATAAATCACTCAGTGTGTATAATTTTGAGGAAAATTAAAAAAGCAAGCTCTTTTGCCAATTCAGGTAAATCTATAATATATAGAGGGTTAGAATAATTTATAAAAATAATGTCTGATTTTCTGGGCTAATATGTCAGTAATGAGTATATTCACTTAAAATATAAAGTCATACAACCAGCTATATTTCACATTTCAAGTACAGCATTTTGACTGCAAAATCATAATCAAACATAAATTATAAAGGCTATAATAATTTCCAAAATTCATGTTAACCTTTAACTTGATGTAACCTTTGACAGCTTTCAGAATACTATTTTATTTATCCATATTATTTTAGGGGCAATATTTCAGAAACATAGATAATATTATTAATTCCTTTTGAGCTTGGTATAAAGTATTACTAGAGGCATATACTCAAGTGAAAGTCTTAGCTAACAGTGAAATCCTATAAAAATGGAAAATTTTAAGTGTGCCAAATTTTCGGAACTGACAGATTAAACATCAGGTCTTTGTCACATCAGTTAGATTTATAATTAGATAAAGCAGAAATGCCAAGTTAGAGGGTAACTAAGTAAAATGCATCTCCTCTAGAGCAAGATTGTTTTCTTTTGTAAATGTTAAACAGTGTGGTGGGGTGCATGCATCTTCTGACCTACCTGTTTGCTGTTGCCTTATGGGCCTTTTGGCTCACTATAGCAGTTTTTCACAAATTGATACATGATGTCATTGACAGATTTTGACATGAATTTTTACCTGACAACAGTGAAGTAGCTGTGTTTTATTTCATGTCTTGTAGAAATTCTTTCATTTTCTCTCCAATCCTTCAAACTGCATGAATTGTGAGATTTAGTTGGCTGATGAATTTCTAAAGACCAGTATAAAATATTTGTGTTTGTTTTGCCTTAAAAAGTCACGACCAAGAGAAACTTCCTCAAATGATAGGAATTATATTTCCCTTTGAGGGAATATATGATAGTCTCTCTTTATTTTCCAGAACACGTGAAAACACACGGTTTCTAGCTTCTAAAATGTATTTGGACATCCTTTTGTTACAAATGTAAATCTGTTTCTATAGCAGTCCTCGTTAGTTTGAAATGATTTCTTGATCACATAACTTGCTTTATATTATAAATCCAGTCCATGTTCTTTTGATAAAACCATCTGCTATTTAATTTGATTTGTTTTCATTAGAAGAGGATGCATAGTCATAAAACTTAGATGAAAAAATCCTTTAGTAATATCAGCTGCTACGAATATCTGAATATTTAGTGCAGAAAATAATTGATAAAGCTTTATTTAGCTTGCTGCTAATGTATGGCATTCTCTTTTTGGCATTCTGTGCCTCATTGTTTCTTCAGGAAACAGCTCCACAATCCTGGTATGTTAAAGTGTAAACTCCCCCTTTAAAAATGCTCACCATTTTGTTTTCAGGCTTTTGCAGTTAAATTGTTTTTCTTTTTGTGTCTATTTTATATAGCATCTTCTTAGGATGATTACTGTCCATGTGTTATATCCCAGCAGTAATGTGGACCTGTATTTTCTGGTTTTAACTCCTTAATGTCTTAAATTCATGTGTTAGAAGAATATCCTGCAGTTTATGGTTCAGGCAGCTAGGAGATGCTTGATCAGATGCATTCTTCATATTGTCAGTTGTAAATACTGAATTAGCTGCTGTGGGCCCTTGTGCAAAAGCAAAAAAATGGTTAATAGGGTTCCTAATAATTTCCAATGAACGCAAAGTTACTTTAGTTTTGTTGACTTTAACACCATACACAGTATTCATTATCAAAGTAAGTAAACTGTATTAGTAGAGCCACAACTTATGCATAGATTTAAGGGATTCTGTAAATATTTTCTTTTCTTAACAGAGATTGCAAATATTATGTTATTTAGTAACAGAGGTAACATAAATATAACCATGAAGGAAAAGCTGCAGTTTTAAAACTAATTTCTGCTCTCAGTTTAGAAGCTAACCTGTGTTTTCAGAGATTATGAGCAATTAGCATACACTAAACATACTGTCGTTCTCTCTTGTCTTTACAATAAATTTAACACTATTTCCTACTGGGAAATATTGTAGCTTGCTTAATTATTAGCACATGGTTTGAATATTAACTGATTAAAACAGATTCCACAATTAGATGCTATAAATTTCCACTGATGAGTTGTTCATGTAGTTGAAATGTAAAAGGTAATGCAAAATGTAACTGCAAATTAAATAATTTTCAATGAACATGCCCAATAATGAACTTAACCTAAAACTGAGTAATAAATAATAGCTAAATAGTAAACCTGGTCCTTTTAAGAAATATAAGCATTTTTTGAGCACTTGAGAAAAACTATACTGATGACATTAAGAATATTTTAGTAGGTCTGAAGTGACTTAAAAGCTGATGTCTTCATAGTGAATCAACAAAGAAAATTTTTGGTATTTAACATTGCACCCTAAAAAAAGTACATTGAAAATGTCATGTCTTAAATCGATCTAAAAAATACATGTTTAACAATAAATAGAATTAAGCAAATAAACTGTTAAAATTAGGTTGAAATTTTTCAAAGTAATTTTACCCCACTATGCCAGTTCAAAAGCAGCTTATACTGTAATAAGGGAACACATCTTACCTCCGCTAAAGATTTGATACATTCCTGATGTAGTTGAAGCGTTTCCAGTTTTGATTGATTCATTTGGTTCACTTGTTAGCAGAGGACTGGGGGAAGAGGGTCATAAACATCTCTTCAGAAAAGACCTTAATGAAAATATGTGTCTGTACTGTGCCATTGTCTCAGCAGTACTGCTAATGTATGGAACGTGTGGTGCTGCTTAGAGGCTGCTGCAGTCTCTCACTCTTCCTACTGTGAAATCAATAAGCATCTGAAAAACGTAATGAAGTAATTGAACATACTGAAGGCTTCTTGTCTCCAGAGACAACATTAGATTCAGTCTCTCTAAAAAGGAATGGCACTGCTTTTCAGAGGAAAGCCTGTTCTGGGCAGCTTTTGCAGAATGACAGCCTACCTTGTCGCTCGCTTCTCCCCACTGCAGAGAGATGCAGTGCACTCACTAATTTTGATTGGTCAGTTGTATTGGGCTTAAACCGTGCTTCATATGTATAGCAGGGATTTCCAACCCCCCCCCCCCAACTGTTTTATATAAGGATGCTTTTTTAAAAGGCTATATTTATAAGTGGTTGTATGCTGCTTTTAAATAGAGTATGAGTAAATTGGTCTTTTAAAAATGTGTATTCTATTCTGGTTTGTTGTTCACTTATGCCAAACAAAAAATGCAGGAGGGTGGAAGGGGGCAAGAAAGAATTACACGGTAAAAAGTGTATATTCTTTATGAAGCCTAGATGATTGCACTCGAGAATATTTTAGTCGTAATATATGTTTTTGGTTGAGATTCTTTGTTCTACAAATAGAAAGCCACTGCATCCTTACTGTGAACCACATTGAATTTCAACTAGTTGGTTTGTATTCAAGTCGTCTTCTCTGTGTATTTCAAATTGTTGTGAGCATCTCAAGGTGGTAAACCTTGTTATGACTGCAGGATTCATTCAGGTGTTCATTCATTCCATTCATTCAGAATTTTAATGAAGTTGTTCCAAGGTGGTTCTACTCTAAAATGTTTTTTTTAAAATTCTATTACTATTAACATAGTCTCAATATATAAAGATTTAATCATGTGCTTTCCTTTCAGATCACTTCTCCGTCTTCACCTTTGGTAACCTTTTTATTTAGTAGATATATACTGATCATTTGCCATAGTATTTTATTTCAACTGGCTATTTCTATTTTTAACCTGGGCACTTTTAATGGATTGCTGTGCCTTAAATATTATATGTAGCTATGTGCTAATGTTATCAGGTAAATGTATCAGTAAAGGAAAAAGAAGTTAGTAGTTATGTGTCTTCATAAGTTATATAAGGCTAAATTATTTTAAGATAGATAGGTTGTTGAGAGAATAAAAACAAGTAGAAGTAATTAACTTAAAATATTACTTTAAAATTAAATT